GACAGTAGATTGACAGTGTGTGTCAGTTAATGTGTGTCGTTAATGTGTCTTGTTGGTTGACAGTAGATTGACAGTGTGTGTATTTAATGTGTGTGTGTATTTAATGTGTCTTGTTGGTTGACAGTGTGTGTCGTTAATGTGTCTTGTTGGTTGACAGTGAGTGTGTGTCGTTAATGTGTCTTGTTGGTTGACAGTAGATTGACAGTGTGTGTCGTTAATGTGTCTTGTTGGTTGACAGTAGATTGACAGTGTGTGTATTTAATGTGTCTTGTTGGTTGACAGTAGATTGACAGTGTGTGTCGTGTCTTGTTGGTTGACAGTGTGTGTGTGTTAATGTGTCTTGACAGTAGATTGACAGTGTGTGTATTTAATGTGTCTTGTTGGTGGACAGTAGATTGACAGTGTGTGTATTTAATGTGTCTTGTTGGTTGACAGTAGATTGACAGTGTGTGTCGTTAATGTGTCTTGTTGGTTGACAGTAGATTGACAGTGTGTGTATTTAATGTGTCTTGTTGGTTGACAGTAGATTGACAGTGTGTGTATTTAATGTGTCTTGTTGGTTGACAGTGACAGTGTGTGTGTGTCTTTAATGTGTCTTGTTGGTTGGTGTGTGTACAGTGTGTGTCGTTAATGTGTCTTGTTGGTTGACAGTAGATTGACAGTGTGTGTATTTAATGTGTCTTGTTGGTGGACAGTAGATTGACAGTGTGTGTATTTAATGTGTCTTGTTGGTTGACAGTAGATTGACAGTGTGTGTATTTAATGTGTCTTGTTGGTTGACAGTAGATTGACAGTGTGTGTCGTTAATGTGTCTTGTTGGTTGACAGTAGATTGACAGTGTGTGTATTTAATATGTCTTGTTGGTTGACAGTAGATTGACAGTGTGTGTCGTTAATGTGTCTTGTTGGTTGACAGTAGATTGACAGTGTGTGTCGTTAATGTGTCTTGTTGGTTGACAGTAGATTGACAGTGTGTGTATTTAATATGTCTTGTTGGTTGACAGTAGATTGACAGTGTGTGTCGTTAATGTGTCTTGTTGGTTGACAGTAGATTGACAGTGTGTGTATTTAATGTGTCTTGTTGGTTGACAGTAGATTGACAGTGTGTGTCGTTAATGTGTCTTGTTGGTTGACAGTAGATTGACAGTATGTGTATTTAATGTGTCTTGTTGGTTGACAGTAGATTGACAGTGTGTGTCGTTAATGTGTCTTGTTGGTTGACAGTAGATTGACAGTGTGTGTATTTAATGTGTCTTGTTGGTGGACAGTAGATTGACAGTGTGTGTATTTTATGTGTCTTGTTGGTGGACAGTAGATTGACAGTGTGTGACTATAATTAATGTGTCTTGTTGGTTGACAGTAGATTGACAGTGTGTGTCGTTAATGTGTCTTGTTGGTTGACAGTAGATTGACAGTGTGTGTCTTTAATGTGTCTTGTTGGTGGACAGTAAATTGACAGTGTGTGTCGTTAATGTGTCTTGTTGGTAGACAGTAGATTGACAGTGTGTGTATTTAATGTGTCTTGTTGGTTGACAGTAGATTGACAGTGTGTGTATTTAATGTGTCTTGTTGGTTGACAGTAGATTGACAGTGTGTGTCGTTAATGTGTCTTGTTGGTTGACAGTAGATTGACAGTGTGTGTATTTAATGTGTCTTGTTGGTTGACAGTAGATTGACAGTGTGTGTCGTTAATGTGTCTTGTTGGTTGACAGTAGATTGACAGTGTGTGTATTTAATGTGTCTTGTTGGTTGACAGTAGATTGACAGTGTGTGTCTTTAATATGTCTTGTTGGTTGACAGTAGATTGACAGTGTGTGTCGTTAATGTGTCTTGTTGGTTGACAGTAGATTGACAGTGTGTGTATTTAATGTGTCTTGTTGGTGGACAGTAGATTGACAGTGTGTGTATTTTATGTGTCTTGTTGGTGGACAGTAGATTGACAGTGTGTGACTATAATGTGTCTAGTTGGTGGACAGTAGATTGACAGTGTGTGTCGTTAATGTGTCTTGTTGGTTGACAGTAGATTGACAGTGTGTGTCTTTAATGTGTCTTGTTGGTGGACAGTAAATTGACAGTGTGTGTCGTTAATGTGTCTTGTTGGTAGACAGTAGATTGACAGTGTGTGTCTATGATGTGTCTAGTTGGTGGACAGTAGATGGACCGTGTCTATAGTGTATCATTAAAGTTGAGAGTATTTTCACAGAGTGTATAATATAGCATGTCAGTGGACAGTAGACGGACAGCGTCTGTAATGTGTCATGTCAGGTGAAAGCAGAATGTTATTTTTCCAAGAGATATTTTGTTATTGAAAAACAATTATAATAGTAGAGTGTAGACATTTATATCATAGAGTTGTGACTACTAATGATCTGTAATTTGTCACTCACAGCGTAAGTAGCTGACAGTCCAGGGGTGAATCAGGACATTTTTCAATCTGTTGGTACGCGAAACTAAGATTATCCTATCAGTCTTTTTTAAAAGTAAGGGATCGTTTTCTTATTGGTACTTTGTAAATTGTGTAACGCAGTACTTTCGATATGTTCGAATGTGAACATTACATTCAGACCAATACATTCTCGTTTGCAGATTTTCAAATTGTGAAGTCATTATAATGAAAACGCTTCGAACTTCCTAAACCTTACTTCCATATTTTATCCGAGATTCTGACTGTAAAATGCATATCACTGATTCATTACTCATCCTTACATTAAGAACGAATAAAGAGCAGTTTAGATATACAGCGAACAAGAGTTCCATGAGGCCTGTATCGCTCACATGGCCTTGCTTTTCTTTGCTGAAATGGTTTCATTAAACCAAAAGGAAAAAGAATTCTAAATATTCAAGCACTTATTGGTCCTGTTGGACCACAACCTTCTTACCTTAGCATATCAGCCTAACCATTCATACTCCAAAACAAATAATTCTGAAGGAGATGTAGGATTTTAAAGACTTCGCCCTATTTCCCCTAATGGGCCCCGTCACTCTCGCCCCAGGGGGCCGAGACCCAAAGTTTACACGAAATTGATTCATCATCCTCCAACAATGCTTCAGACTGAATTTGACATTCGGACCAGGTGAGCTAATAAAAAATTTTAAATGTAATGAACAAACAAACGTTAAGTCATTGAATAAAGAATAAAATCTGGTAAGGGACTATATGCACCATAGAGCATACGAGATTAACAATGTCCCGTAATTAACATGAAACATTTGGCCAATCTCTTGACTGGTACATGTAACACGTCAGTAACTTAGTGGGGAACATTTGGCCAATCTCTTGACTGGTACATGTAACACGTCAGTAACTTAGTGGGGAACATTTGGCCAATCTCTTGACTGGTACATGTAACACGTCAGTAACTTAGTGGGGAACATTTGGCCAATCTCTTGACTGGTACATGTAACACGTCAGTAACTTAGTGGGGAACATTTGGCCAATCTCTTGACTGGTACATGTAACACGTCGGTAACTTAGTGGGGAACATTTGGCCAATCTCTTGACTGGTACATGTAACACGTCAGTAACTTAGTGGGGAACATTTGGCCAATCTCTTGACTGGTACATGTAACACGTCAGTAACTTAGTGGGGATCATTTGGCCAATCTCTTGACTGGTACATGTAACACGTCAGTAACTTAGTGGGGAACATTTGGCCAATCTCGAGACTGGTACATGTAAAAGTGACTTAATCGGGAACATTTGGCCAATCTCTTGACTGGTACATGTAACACGTCAGTAACTTAGTGGGGATCATTTGGCCAATCTCTGGACTGGTACATGTAAAAGTGACTTAATCACGTCTTGGGCATGTAACACGTCAGTAACTTAGTGGGGATCATTTGGCCAATCTCTGGACTGGTACATGTAACACGTCGGTAACTTAGTGGGGATCATTTGGCCAATCTCTTGACTGGTACATGTAACACGTCAGTAACTTAGTGGGGAACATTTGGCCAATCTCGTGACTGGTACATGTAAAAGTGACTTAATCGGGAACATTTGGCCAATCTCTTGACTGGTACATGTAACACGTCAGTAACTTAGTGGTGATCATTTGGCCAATCTCTGGACTGGTACATGTAACACGTCAGTAACTTAGTGGGGAACATTTGGCCAATCTCTTGACTAGTACATGTAAAAGTAACTTAATCGGGAACATTTGGCCAATCTCTTGACTGGTACATGTAACACGGCGTTAACTTAATGTTGAACATGCAACCCATGTCTTGATTGATACCATTTAGACAATGCTGTACCTTACACAGTAATATCGGATATTTTAGTCGTTTGAATCGACATCAATTAATGTAAAAATTGTTTTTATCGATATCATATTCGATGTTTTTAGTTTTTCGTTCAGATGGGAAAATCAGATGTTGGTTGTTTCGATTGATTTTAATTGTTAGAACTGTTTGATGATTCGATTGATATGAAATATTAGATAAGTAAATAAATAAATAATTTCAATTGTTTCAACCTCAGGGATACAAAATATATCAAATTACAGTATGTATCACGCCAACCTAGGACAGAGTGAACAGGTGCTTATAATAAGTCAATTGCCAAAACAACAATGACATTGTCAAATAATTACGATTGACTTTTGTATTTTTTATTTCTTTTACAGGAAATCGTTTTATTATGAAAAGCTGTATTCATGGTTTAAGTTGGATGTGATGACAGCGTCAGTTTTGATTGTGATATCAGGCGCTTATATTAACAAACACAAACATGCTGGTTACAAGCGGTTACAATGATCACACTGTCTCCGGGGTCTTATCAGACATGCTGGTTACAGGCGGTTATACTGATCACAATGTCTCCGGGACCTTATCAGACTGCTGGATGAAGGCGGTTATATCGACCACATTGTCTCCGGGACTTATCAGATATGCTGGATACAGGAGGTTATACCGACAACACTGTCTCCGTGACTTTTATTATATAATCTGGATACAGAAATACCGAACACACTGATTTCTAGGGCATTGATCAGTCGATCATAAAGTTTCTAAGGCCTTTATGAGGGCATCTTGGATACTGACAGCTATACCCATTTGACTTAAAACCTCCCGCGGATTAGGATGGTCACGTGTCAAAGCCGCTATTGCCTACAACGAAACATCAAAATTCTTTAATAGTTATAATTACACTATATTAGTTCTAGGTACATGGACTCGTCTGTTATGATTACACTATATTAGTTCTAGGTACATGGACTCGTCTGTTATAATTACACTATATTAGCTCTAGGTACATGGACTCGTCTGTTATAATTTCACTATATTCGTTCTAAGTGCACTGACTCACCTGAAGTTCCTGTTTTGAGAGAGATGCCACTGCCTTAACGGCCTGACTGTCTATTTCTTGCTGGATGCGTGCCTTGGAAAATAAAGCAGAAATTTGCTTCACTTTCTTTATATGTGGGTATCGCTTTTGCATTCCCTTCGGTCATTATTACGATATAAGAGTTTTTATAGAAAACATGAGTTTTTCTTTTAAGAAGTTACGTTAACTGCTGGAAAGGTGTCTTTTGATTGAACAGAATTGTCTGTTTGGTAACTACTTCTTAATCTATGTCTTAATTTAGACTACAGGAAGGTGTCTTTTGATTAAACAGAATTGTCTGTTTGGTAACTACTTCTTAATCTATGTCTTAATTTAGACTACAGGAAGGTGTCTTTTGATTGAACAGAATTGTCTGTTTGGTAACTGCTTGTTAATCTATGTCTTAATTTAGACTACAGGAAGGTGTCTTTTGATTAAACAGAGTTGTCTGTTTGGTAACTACTTCTTAATCTATGTCTTAATTTAGACTACAGGAAGGTGTCTTTTGATTAAACAGAATTGTCTGTTTGGTAACTGCTTGTTAATCTGTGTCTGAATTTAGAATACAGGAAGGTGTCTTTTGATTAAACAGAGTTGTCTGTTTGGTAACTGCTTGTTAATCTATGTCTTAATTTAGACTACAGGAAGGTGTCTTTTGATTAAACAGAATTGTCTGTTTGGTAACTGCTTGTTAATCTATGTCTTAATTTAGACTACAGGAAGGTGTCTTTTGATTGAACAGAATTGTCTGTTTGGTAACTGCTTGTTAATCTATGTCTTAATTTAGACTACAGGAAGGTGTCTTTTGATTAAACAGAATTGTCTGTTTGGTAACTGCTTGTTAATCTATGTCTTAATTTAGACTACAGGAAGGTGTCTTTTGATTGAACAGAGTTGTCTGTTTGGTAACTGCTTGTTAATCTATGTCTTAATTGAGATTATATTTCCAGTTAATCGATATCTGACATCATATTTCTGCTGATTTTGAATTTCTGACTTATTTTCTTGATTGATGCAAGGTAATTTGTTGTACCGTATCTAATTCCAACTTGGTATTGAAGTGTGTTCCTCTTTTAGTGTGTCCTTAGTACAATCTTTATGATTGCGAGTGGTTGACACTGCGCTGATGGACTTTTAATCCAGGAGGTTTGCCGTAATCTGCATGCCACGTTTTAACTTATTCGAATAATGGAACGGTTTAAAACATTGTACTTGACTTTTTTGAAATACATTGAAATACCGGGCTTGTGCACCTCCCATTCAGATTTGAAAAATATCTTTCGGTCAATTTTTATTTTCATCAGTCTCCTCTAAAATTTGTATTAAAAGACACTTTTCACTTGGGAGTCATTTGTGGCAATTATAGTCCAAGAGGTTTGCCGATACCTGGATGACATGTTTTAACTCATTCTAATTTGAGGAAACAACAGTTTTCAGTGGAATTCATTATTGGGACATATCGTATTTAACGCTGAATTTGAAGTGCATGTTGCTACATGTATTCACTTGGGCCTAGAGGTCAGTGTTAGAAAAGGTAACAGGTCTGTGAGAACTATGTAAACAATTTAATACGAAATACGTGTTGACATCTACAAAATCTAGAAAAAAAACCCAGATCTCACCTTTTCCTTTGTATATTTTTCCTTTTCTAACAGAGCAATATCACCGCGGATTCGCATTGCCTCTGAAAGAAATTAACAAACATTTTACTATCAAACTATAAAATATGGAAAATGTAGCAATAATTAGCTCCCCAGTATACCACTGAGAAAACACAACCTCAAGCTAACGAAATGACCTTAAAATTTGATTTGACAAATATTAATTGAAGGAATCTTTGGAAAAGCTAAAAGCAACCAACAAAGTGACAAAGTAAACAAACATTTTAGAGTGAGAAATGTGATAACATGTAGGACATATAAATAAAACAATTGTCTTATGTTTCTACTAGGTGGTAGCTGGTTGTAAAGACATTTTGAATCTAAATTTCTTAACTGAAATTTAACAAGATGATTTGTCGAATAACAGTCCCCCACCGACACAATGTTTACGAAGGTAAACCCCTACACCAAATATGAGGTTTCTATGACTATCAGTGTAGACGATAAAGTCAAACTTTTTCACCACAGTAGGTCAAACGTAAATAAATATAAGTCATAGTGACCTAGTTTTGCTACGTGACCACCACCTCATGAAGGCGAACTCGATTCCTAAGTACGAAGTTCTAGCGACTTATAACGTAGGAGATACAGTCTGTACAAACATTTTCAGTGATGTTGATCAAAGGTCAAAATATTGATCAGAGTGATCTACTTTTGATATATGATACACCGCATAACCAAAGTGATTCCACATCCTAAGTATGAAGTTTCAGTGACAAGACATGTAGGAGATAGAGACAGGGCAAACTTTTTCTCAGGTGTATGTCAAAATGTTCGTCAGAGTGACCTTCTTTCAATACATGATATGCTGCTTCACTAAAGCTTCATATCCTTCATCAACTTGCTTCTTTTTATCACTGTGCTATGAGTACTATTGCTGTCCAGAGATGGAAATTTCACGACATGGAAATTGAATTTTTCACGCTTATACAGTTTGGCTGTAAGCTGTTTATGTTGGTTTCATTAAAAAAAAACTAAACATGCGGTTGATGTGGAACAGTCTGTCGTGCCCTTCATTCCGATTCTGGTGGGTCAAAGATATCTTGTTGTTAACAGACAAGACGTCATCTGTTTACCTGAAAATGAAATTGAAGGACTTTGCAAGGTCTTTGTGACCTATTTTGACAAGCTCTTCAATTAATTCAGTCTCGTCTGAAGACAAAACAAGACAACCAACAGAAGGACACAGTTATCTAATTACTTATACCATAAATCCCAACAAACCCAACAAAGATGTCAACCGGAAACTCAATCATTTTATCATTGTATGTATTTTTTTCATTCGGGCGCATTTTGCACGAAAGACGCTTAAGTATAAGTTCACAGCCATATATAATGTATTCATATCGCCTTTCCCGTTTCTTGGAAACAAAGTTCTCGTAACAAGAGAACTGAACTTTTTTTAGTTTATAAGGGGTATGGTGTTGAACAGAGTGGAATCAAAGTGCTAAAATACTGAGGTGCAGACATCTAAAACAAAAGAAACAACCTAAAAGGTAACGATAAATAATTAATTTACGGAATTGTGAGTAAATCCTATCACTTGTATGATGATTTCACCCATTTAAAAAGTGTCCCTTTTAATTTTAAGCATAAAAGCATGAGAAACAAGGTGATTTATCTGTCAATCATGTGTCTTCCTATTGATTCAGACTAGCTGTTGTCAAAATAACGACAAACACTTGTAATTTCTACCAGGCCGAAGATGTATAATATAAGTGCTGTAATTTCTGGACAGGGACATCATGACATTAAATTGTTTTCTTTTAAATTCATTATTGCCAATCACGCTTATGTATCAGTCTTAAAGTACAATGTAATTACTGTAACACGTGAAGACCACTTTAGTGTTGCGTGTCGTTTCATTTAAAATCGATTAGTAAAATACATATACTGTATGACATGAAGGCAAGAATATATATGTAATCACGTATTGTCGATTTCTCGTTGATTTCTATTTAAACTTAAGTTTTTTTGTTTTTTTTTTGTTTGTTCAGGCAGAAATATTGTGTCATCAATTACAGCCAAGAATATGATTTCATACGTTTTCAAACGTCCATTTAACCCACCACGAATGATTCGAAGTCTCGATGTATCGAAGTTTATTTGGTAGTCCCTTGAACTTCGAAACATCGATGTTTGACTGTACTTACCTGCAATACTCTCATTTTCGATATACTTCATAATTAGACGGTCAGTATTTACGTTACAACAGCACCAACATAAAGCTGGCCACCATCAGAACTAAAGCCGTGCGTAACCGATAAATGCCGACCATAAACGAGTCGTAACCAAAGTAATTGCAATTAAATTAAAGTATAGGAGATATTTTAAGAATTACACCAGTATTTTCAATTCCAAATTAAGGATTGTTAATTTATCTGGATTTCTTTAATCATCAGCACGAACTCTTTGTATGAAGAACTTTCTTTGATAGCATTATTATGCACATAAATTTGTAACAAAGGAAAATCGCATTTAAATGAGTGTATCAAAAGTCAACCGCATGTAAATTTTGTATGTCAAAGGTCGTGTTGTTCGCTGGCAAAGACTGCAGGCCTTAGTAAGACCTGTGTCCTAAACCAAACGTATCTATAGAAGAAATGTATTAGAAGAGTGTGTTGAAATTTGGTCAAAAGCCATTTGGTGTTCTGTAAAATCAATATCCTATTAATTCCATTTCTTGAGTAAACAGTATCACAATAAAATCATACCCCATATTTGATAGTACTAAGAATGACAATAACACATTTAGGTTTGGTTGAACAGCTAGTCGGCAATACAAAACTGTTAACATGGAAACTTTTTAAGTTTATGAATCCAATAGAGATGGGAGAAGTCTGCATCCTTATCACTAATTGGCAATAGATAATCATGATGAACTAGTATTTAAAACATAGCATTAATATTTACAGTCAAACCAAAGAATCGTACAAAACTTACAATCAAACCATGCCATGGCTTGTCGCGCAAAACTTACAGTCAATCCAAGCCATGGATTGTCGCGAAAAAAATTACAGTCAAGCCATGCCATGGACTGTCTCACAAAACTTACAGTCAAGCCAAAGACTGTCGCACAAAACTTACAGTCATGTCATGCCATGGACTGTCGCACAAAACTTACAGTCAGGTCATGCCATGGACTGTCGCACAAAACTTACAGTCAAGCCAAAGACTGTCGCACAAAACTTAAAGTCATGTCATGCCATGGACTGTCGCACAAAACTTACAGTCAGGTCATGTCATGGACTGTCGCACATAACTTACAGTCAAGCCATGTCATGGACTATCGCACATAACTTACAGTCATGTCATGCCAAAGACTGTCGCACAAAACTTACAGTCAAGCCATGTCATGGACTATCGCACAAAACGTACAGTCAGGTCATGTCATGGACTGTCGCACAAAACTTACAGTCAGGTCATGTCATGGACTGTCGCACAAAACTTACAGTCAGGTCATGCCATGGACTGTCGCACAAAACTTACAGTCAGGTCATGTCATGGACTGTCGCACAAAACTTACAGTCAGGTCATGTCATGGACTGTCGCACAAAACTTACAGTCAGGTCATGTCATGGACTATCGCACATAACTTACAGCCAAGGTTAATATGGTCGCACAGTCAAGGCAAAGATGATCGAAAAAATTTATAATTAAACCAATCATGGTCACATAAAACTACGTCAAAGTGTCGTGGGATTGCTCGTTCAAAGAAACTGTAACAACGGAATGAACTACAAATGTAAAGGCAAACGATAAAATGAAGATTGAAATCATAGGAAATATAGATATAGTCTACCATGTTCCAGAAATTCTGGACTATCTTAAAACGAAATCTTATTGTCACAGTTTATAAATTTGAAAAATCGCGTTTGCATTCCAAACTGACATTCTGTAATTTGGGTTCCTAGATTTTTTAAAATATCTTTTTTGTTTTTGTTTTATGATTGAAATAACGATAAAGACTGTACAATGATACGCAATGATTTCACCAAGAATGTATGTACGATTCGTAAAGGACTGATACATCTGTTATCACTCGGATTAACAATCTAAGGTTTGTTTATCGACAATATAATGAGATGGATGTTTCGATGTTTGACATCAGTAATATTACGATTTTAGTATCGGAGAGTAATTTCCAGTTGTTGCTGTTGTTAAAAGGTTAATGTAGACTTATATAGTCGCGGGTCGACTAGGCTAGAGCACGTTTTCAGATCAGATTTGGGTCAATAGGTCATTAGCATTTAAGTTTTTAATCATGATCACACACCAAAGTCTCTTTCCTGTAGGAATTAACCATCATTGTTCCCCTTATGCCGGTTATGTATTTACACCAAACTAAATATAACATTCATGGTCTTACGATTACTGGGAAATTCAGAACTTCTCACTTTGATATTCTAGAGGATTTGGCAAAGTAAAGGAGTATGTCTGGAGGTCCTTATCCTTTGGGGGCTCCTTCAGTGTTAAAGATTAGGCCTTGTTTTGTGCAGAGGTGTGCTGGAAAGAGGTTATTTACCGTGATTTTTGTTACTCTAATAATAAACATAAAAATAAACAGAAAAAACTATTGTGGTAGTTAGTGAGTGAGGGCTTAAAGCAGATCCATTGTATGTGTCTTGAAGTCATCTAGTGTAATGTATTGTACTGCTGATGCAGAGAAGAAGTTCCATTGTGTGGTTGTATGTGGAAAGAAAAACAAATTCTATCCTTTGTAGCGGATATGTGTCTAAAACATGGAGTGTATATGTACACAGTTCTTGGACCAGCTGGGATGAGGATAAAGATGTTTGATCATCAAAGCAGGAAGATTATCACGGGATGGGACAGTATATCACTGTTATAACAATATTATACAACCTAACACACTTTTCAACTGTACCAACATTACACACAGTCCTTACACACCAACATTATCTTACCAACATTATACACTGTACCAACATTATACAACCTACACACTCTGTCCTTACTACTGTACCAACATTATACAACCTAACACACTCTGTCCTTACTACTGTACCAACATTATACAACCTAACACACTCTGTCCTTACTACTGTACCAACATTATACAACCTAACACACTCTGTCCTTACTACTGTACCAACATTATACAACACACTCTGTCCTTACTACTGTACCAACAGTATACAACCTACTCACTCTGTCCTTACTACTGTACCAACATTATACAACCTTACACACTCTGTCCTTACTACTGTACCAACATTATACAACCTAACACACTCTGTCCTTACTACTGTACCAACATTATACAACCTAACACACTCTGTCCTTACTACTGTACCAACATTATACAACCTAACACACTCTGTCCTTACTACTGTACCAACATTATACAACACACTCTGTTCTTACTACTGTACCAACATTATACAACCTAACACACTCTGTCCTTACTACTGTACCAACATTATACAACCTAACACACTCTGTCCTTACTACTGTACCAACATTATACAACCTAACACACTCTGTTCTTACTACTGTACCAACATTTTACAACCTAACACACTCTGTCCTTACTACTGTACCAACATTATACAACCTAACACACTTTGTCCTTACTACTGTACCAACATTATACAACCTTACACACTCTGTCCTTACTACTGTACCAACATTATACAACCTTACACACTCTGTCCTTACTACTGTACCAACATTATACAACCTTACACACTCTGTTCTTACTACTGTACCAACATTATACAACCTAACACACTCTGTCCTTACTACTGTACCAACATTATACAACCTAACACACTCTGTCCTTACTACTGTACCAACATTATACAACCTTACACACTTTGTCCTTACTACTGTACCAACAGTATACAACCTACTCACTCTGTCCTTACTACTGTACCAACAGTATACAACCTAACACACTCTGTCCTTACTACTGTACCAACATTATACAACCTAACACACTCTGTCCTTACTACTGTACCAACATTATACAACCTAACACACTCTGTCCTTACTACTGTACTAACTTATACAACACACACTCTGTTCTTATTATTACAACCTAACACACTCTGTCCTTACTACTGTACCACATTATACAACCTACACACTCTGTCCTTACTACTGAACCAACATTATACAACCTAACACACTCTGTCCTTACTACTGTACCAACATTATACAACCTAACACACTCTGTCCTTACTACTGTACCAACATTATACAACCTTACACACTCTGTCCTTACTACTGTACCAACATTATACAACCTAACACACTCTGTCCTTACTACTGTACCAACATTATACAACCTAACACATTCTGTCCTTACTACTGTACCAACATTATACAACCTTACACACTCTGTCCTTACTACTGTACCAACATTATACAACCTACTCACTCTGTCCTTACTACTGTACCATCATTATACAACCTAACACACTCTGTCCTTACTACTGTACCAACATTATACAACCTTACACACTCTGTCCTTACTACTGTACCAACATTATACAACCTAACACACTCTGTCCTTACTACTGTACCAACATTATACAACCTTACACACTCTGTTCTTACTACTGTACCAACATTATACAACCTAACACACTCTGTTCTTACTACTGTACCAACATTATACAACCTAACACACTCTGTCCTTACTACTGTACCAACATTATACAACCTAACACACTTTGTCCTTACTACTGTACTATCATTATACAACCTTACACACTCTGTTTTTACTACTGTACCAACATTATACAACCTTACACACTCTGTTCTTACTACTGTACCAACATTATACAACCTTACACACTCTGTCCTTACTACTGTACCAACATTATACAACCTTACACACTCTGTCCTTACTACTGTACCAACATTATACAACCTAACACACTCTGTCCTTACTACTGTACCATCATTATACAACCTTACACACTCTGTCCTTACTACTGTACCAACATTATACAACCTTACACACTCTGTTCTTACTACTTTACCAACATTATACAACCTAACACACTTTGTCCTTACTACTGTACCAACAGTCTACAACCTAACACACTCTGTTCTTATCTGAAATTACATATGAATGACAACACGATATATTCCAAGGGCACACCCCATTTTACACACATTAAAAACAGAACAACCTACAACAAACATTATATCCCCATTAGTAGTTTTGCTGATCAATATATTCATTTTCGTTAGATAGCATCACAAAGATTTGTAATGTGTGTGTGGTTCTTTTAAAATCATTGATCTTCTGTCCATCAAGTCACCTATACTGTGTACAGATATGTCATTATCTTATTCCGATGAGAATAGAGACATCCTCAGGAAAAGGCACGGATAACTACAGTCTCATACAGACCCCACGAGATGAACATATTACATAATAAAAACTATAAAACTAGACAAACAATACTGAAATGACATATTCACAGCCATTTATAATGTTCTAGGCTATTGATCGGGTACAACTTTCCATTTTGGATATTGGCCAAAAATAATTTGGCATCATTGGAGGTTTCAAGCGGATTCTGTGTGCATTGTCATGAATTTTTCATGTACACCTATTTACAAGGAGATAAAACAGCGAACAGTACAAAGGTACATAAGACAGATATTCAGGTACCGAGTCCATGTAGCAGAGTGATCTCTCCGGTACAATGTAGGTAACAGAGTGATCTCTCCGGTACAATGTGGGCAACAGAGTGATCTCTCTGGTACAATGTAGGTACAATGTAGGTAACAGAGTGATCTCTCCTGTACATTTAGGTAACAGAGTTATCTCAAAGGTACAATGTGGGTAACAGAGTGATCTCTCTGTTACAATGTAGGTAACATAGTAATCTCTCAGGTACAATGTAGGTACAATGTAGGTAGCAGAGTGATCTCACAGGTACAATGTGGGTAACAGAGTGATCTCTAAGGTACAATGTAGGTACAATGTAGGTAGCAGAGTGATCTCTCAGGTACAATGTGGGTAACAGAGTGATCTCTCTGGTACAATGTAGGCACAATGTAGGTAACAGAGTGATATTTCCGGTACAATGTAGGTAACAGAGTGATCTCTCATTTACAATGTGGTTAACATAGTGATCTCTCTGGTACAATGTAGGTAACGGAGTGATATCTCCGGTACAATGTAGGTAACAGGGTGATATCTCCGGTACAATGTGGGTAACAGAGTGATCTCTCCGGTACAATGTAGGTAACAGAGTGATCTCAAAGGTACAATGTAGGTACAATGTAGGTAACAGAGTGATCTCTCCGGTACACTGTAGGTAGCAGAGTGATCTCTCTGGTACAATGTAGGTAACAAAGGGATATCTTCGATACAAGTTAGTAACAGACATCATCTCCTTATTTATGCCAAGCTTTGTTGTTAAATAAGACAGGTACAAAGGTTAACACATAGTAGTTGACACACTTGGTGCTAATCTTGTTCTTACCTAAGTGACAGTGCTCTTCCTTTGCTTTGCTGCGCTCCATCTCATCAAAATACCAAACAGTCATGGCATACCTGAAAACAAAACATCATAAGTAGTGATGACATTTAGTATTGTGAAAATGTGAGGTTAGGAACGCCAGAAAAACCCATTCAATGTCCCAGATTAATTGAAAACTATGCCGCTTGAGAACGGAGTCGATATTTTTACTATTGATAGTACAATTCAAAACAACTTTTCACTGTATTCAGTATCCATTTGATTAATCATGAGAAGCTGCAGTTAACTGAAACATATTTTGGTAGTTAGAGATAATTTTTATTTTTTCTTTCCACTATAAGGGATCTCTCTTACTGTTGCGAGAGTTTACTTTCTGTTTAATTTACAACGGTTACTGCAGAGAGATTCCGTATAGTGGCAGTCATTATAAATATGCTTGACAGTAATGTTGTAAGAAAAAAATTTCCGTTGATGTAAAATTTGTAACTATCGCTCTGTTGTAAAGTATACAAAACATTGCCTGAATAACGCCAAGTACCTGGCGACTCTGCTACATAGACCTTGACCCCGCGATGACTAGTGCTACTAACGATCACACACATTAACTACTGAGTCAACGCGGTCCCCGGGTACACAGTTTAACAGGACAGAGATCAATATGTCATGTTTTTCCAAATACATTTAGGAGAAAGAATAGTTGTGAAGAATTATCAAAAGCATAAACTAAGAAACAAATAGACGAATAGATTCTGTCCCCACGTCCAAAACACCTCAGTAATATCGCCAGACATTGGTGACCTTGACATTGGGACAACATGTATGAGACAGAAGATAACACTATAGCGTCGTTAACAAACGCACCTAGTTCTGTAGGCAGGTTGAACCTCGTGTGGATTCCGGCCATCAGACCAGAAAAACAACAATCGGTTAAACACTGGTGGAATGTCCACGTGGTCTTCACTTCCGCGGGGAAATATCCTCAAAAGTCCTCCGTCAGTCTGAAATGGTAAAGGGAACGATACTTACAGAAATAGTCCAGTGCCAAAACCTCGAATCGAGCAAATTCATCGACTTCTCACTTAAAGGGATATTACGCACAAGTTCGGATTTCATGGGACGCTTTTGAAGCAAATTTTACAAAATCATTAAAATTGCGCACTCAGCAAAAGTGTTCGTGAACAACACGCATTTGTGTGTTTACTCAATATTCTGCATGAAATTTAGTATCTAGTTCCGGATTTCCCAGTGAGTTATATCTAAACGGTTAGATTTATATTGGCTGGGACTGTTCCCGCCCATTTTGCCTGTCCAGACTGACCACAGGACAGATATTTTAATGTTCACAATAGTTTTAAAAGTCATTAGTGTAGGTTCTTAAAAGGTACAGTGTAGCCAGAAATTTCGGGTTGAATATATCTTTAACTAAGATGTTGCATGTAGTTTGTATCACGTGTCAAGTGACTCCATGCATGCGTTCATGTACGGCCTTACATAAACAGCACAATGTATCTGAAGAAAATGTCAAATGTTGTAGATATAATAAACCAAACCAGTGGTATCGGGCGGACGGGGAGGGATGGCAGTGTTTAGCTGTAACAATTATTAAACGACAGCTTATTTAATTAGCTCAAAAAGCATGGTAAATGATGGTTATACACTGGGACTACTCACATGCATTTGAAAAGGAAAATATTTGTACATTATTGTTTTGTTTTGATTGCTCGATGTAAGTCATTTTACTCCACCAAATGGTACTTTTATAGCGAGCACCTGTAACTGGCAAATTCCCGTCGTCTATCTTTTTTCATATGACTGGACCGGTATTGAAATATCCAAGTGAAATGTATCCTATTCACAACTCTTCTTAAACATTTTTCAAAATATACGTACAAAGCAGTGATACAGCTGAATCTAAAAGTTGTAACAAAACAATTGCTGGTTTATAGTGACCGGTATCAGATATGTATACATATGTAAATGGAAACCTATTCTACATTCAAAGGATGCTTCTATTATTATTGTTATTATTATACTGTATGCTACGTTTGTAAGTTTGCTAACTATGTAGTCTTGTCCTCGCTGAGTCAACTAAATATATCATAAGCTAAATACCAGTCACAAGGTATAGACAAATATCATTTGTTGTATAAACCATGATGGAAAATGTACTGAAAAATCTCTCTCTCTGTCTCTGTCTCACACACACACACACACACACACACACACGCACACTCTCACACAAACAAAGATTTAAGTCTGTAAGATTTTTCTTGCTTAACTAAAACATTTTTGGGACGAGTGATGTATCTGACAGTGAGTGAATGACTGGAGAATAATTCTAAAAAATTAAAGTTCAGTTTGATGATACGAAAGATATTTATGGAATTGCCAATCCTTTAACTGGCATCATGTATTTTAAGTCATTTGGTTATGGTGATAAAAAATGATGTATGGATAATGATTATGTTATGCATGATGATGATGATGATGATGATGATGATGATGATGATGATGATGATGATGATTTTAATATAAAATCAGCGAGCGTAAATATATATTGCAGTATCTTACAAGCATATCGACTAAAATGTATGTGCACATGGTAGGTCACATACACATACATGGAGTAGGGGAGATAACTCGGATGAAGAGAGATAGCTCGGGTGGAGTAGGGGAGATAACTCGAGAAGTTAACTACCTGAACATTCCAGTTCCGGTTGAGGTACAGGATACACGTTATTCGACGCCCGTCCTTTGTCGGGTTATCCACATGCCGTCTGTAACATGTCCCTTCTCCCGGGTAGCACGTCACCATTACCTGTTGGGGATGGTACCATGTTTAGTAATTTAGTAAAAATCTTATTATTAATAAGACGTAAAGAAAACAGCCAGATCAGCGTCCATCATTGTATTGGTTCTATATAGTTGTGTCTTTTCCATTCTTAACACTTCTTTCCTCTTATTATTTTTTTTTCAATAATGTGCTATGTTGACAGGTGAATAATTCAAACCAACAGACAAAATCTGAGAATAGTCTCATGTCATGTCTTTGAAATAATTTTGATTTCTTTCATTTGTTTGAAATAAAGACATGCAATAATGTATGTCAATATTTCAACATCATTCCTTCACTGTTGCAGTTATTAATGATGTACAACGAAGATCATATTTTACTGCTGATGGTTTTCAGTATGGTATGGCATCATTCGCAAATAAGATGAGTACATAATCAGTAACATATGTTATATATTTTATTATGGGAATAATATAAATAGAGTGCTAGATTGATAAGTGTACAATTAACTTACAAATTGTTTTAAACAAATTTCAGGTCATGTTCCCCCAACAACCTCAATTTTCAAAACAGAACAAGACAACAGAAAAAGACAAAAAATCCAAAATGAAAACTCCTCCAGTAGAAAAATGCACCAAGAGAGTGATGGCTAGCTTGTACTAAGTTCCTAGTGGTTCTTCAACATATTTCTTGTCATGTTGTAGAAATTGTGAAATTTAAAATTTTGTCTATCTGTTTTCAATCTGTTTCCATGATATAAAAAAGGGGATATGAGAACTCTGGTCCTCCAACACAAAAAGCACCTCCAGAGAGATTGAATGATATGAGGACAAAATTTCATGTACTTATCTTGAATGGATTTGACATTTTACTTCGGAAGCAGCAAAATTTGCAGTGTTGCCTGTTCCCATAGCAACAAAATAAATTATATTTATTAAAAAACAACATCTCCATGGCAAAATGCACTATGAAAATACTAGCATGAAAACTGTACAAAACTTTCTGGTAGTTTGTAGTCATGTATTTATACCACAGGGAAAAAAAGTCTGACTGACTTTGTTTCCAATGATATAGCAATGCATTTACAAACCATTTTACTCCCAAAATATAATTAATCTTTCAAATTAAACATTAGTTAAATGCTAATTAATTTTCAGATTGAATGTACTAACTTTTGCTAAAATAATTTAACTTTTGATATTTAGAAAACAAAAATGCATGTTTAAGCTATTTACAACTGAAATACCATCCAATATTGTATACATTTTTCAGGCTGTGATATGAAGAAAATCATCTTAAAATAGATAACATCAAAAAAGTTGAGTGATTTTCGGATTGACTCATGTTGATTATGTGATGTAACACTTTAATTCATTAGTATTATTTTTGTTACAAAATTGAGTTATATCTTCCACTAGTTGACAAAAAGGTTCTGGTAAGGATGGTCGGTGCAAAGTCACACTAACTACAGTGATGGGCACAAATTGATAAGATTAGACGAGGATGGGGTCCGATGACTTCACTACTTAGTGATCAAACAAAACTCAATGCCAGAAAAGTCTGCACTGGGCCTGCTTTCTCATTCTCATTCCATTCTCATAATATGCCCCTGGTCATGTTCATGCAACTGAAATCTGTAATTTTGCCAATCTGTTTCCATTGTAACAGAAAGTGTACATTAATGGAAAACTTTTGCAAAGTAGTGGTTTGAAAACTATATTGAATGGCTGTATTCAGAGCTCTGGTCCAGAAAATTTCCATGCACAGGCCAACAGACTCAGGCCTATCTAATATCCTGTGCAAACATGTTCTGTGGAGATAATAAACAATCAAGTGATTATCAAGAAATAGAGTACAGCAAACTATAACCTGTCAAGATGGCATCCTGTCAGCCATTTTGTCTTCCTGATCAGTCAAAAAATGGACAATGCACAAGAAAGGAGCAAGGATAACCCAACATCTTCAACAAGTAGTGATACAAAACTCCAAGTTTCTGAATCAAAGATAGCTACCCTGCATTACATTGATTTCCTGATCAGTGTAAAATGAAAAAAAATGGGAAACACTAGGGATCATGGGGAACTTATACACACAATTTTTGAAAGATCCACTTATTAATTTTCAAAAAATAGCAATAACAAACATTCATTTCCAAAATCAAAGATGGCTGGCAGTCAGCAATTTTGGTTTTTGATCAGTCTCAATATTAAAATGAGTACCACTTAGGACCAAGGAAAACCTATATATATTATATATGATTTGAGACAAGTTCTTCTCTTATCATAGACAAGATATATCCATTTTACTAGTGCAAGATTTGATTTCCTTGTCTCGCCTTAGGGTCGAGATTGGTGTGGGGGGAGGGTGGGTCGTCCCCTGTCGGATCAAAGGTATGATGTTATAATACATGTAGCATTTTACTAATGTTGTATCATTAATTCAATAATCCTCTTGCATGCATGACATCACATCACATCAATGATGCGAAGCACTGGTATGACAAAAACACATACCTAATAAGCCTGCAGGGTAAGAGATAAATAATCATATAGTCAACTTTTTGGTGAAATGTGGGATCTCAACTCTACAGAAAAGATAATTTAAGTTGCAATCACACTGGAAGCCTTGTTGGTTGCTTACTTATTCATCTTTTGCCTCTGTTGGGTTCCCCCAATCTCACCAACCATGAGTTTTGATTAGTCTTGAAATTAAAAGGGCACAATTGGTGACCAAGGTGAATTTCGATTTGAAATTGAAGATCCATCAAGTCTTTCTCATGAAATAGTGATAACAAAGTCAAAATCCAACATGGCCACTAGTCAGTAAAATTAAAAGAGCACCACTGGGGAAATATACATTGGAAATTAGAGACAGGTCTCTCCCATATTTCTCCAGAAGTCAATTGGCAAAATCGAAGATTGTCATTTGTCAGTCATTCTGTTTTTCTGATCACTCGATAACTAATGGACATGAATTAGTATCATGTGGAACTTCATGTGAAATTTTAGAAAGTGACCCAGTGCTTCTTAACTAATAGCAATATTAATGACTGATGACTGATTGACCTTGGACCCAGAGCAATTTGCAAAGTCCATCATCTATTGAAGACTGTTAGACATTACAAATTGGATTGTGTCATAGATTTCTCTCCCCTCCTCTGCAAAGAAAAGATACATACACTTAAAATAGAAACTTTGTAATCCAAAGCAAAAGTATACCTATTTGGAACAATTTGAAGTGTTCAGTAAATCAACTTGCAGTTTAAAATGATTAAGTGATAAAAGTGAAGACAGGAAGACATTTTTTTGTGTTTTTAAATGGAAGGAAAGGTATTAAATGTTGGACTGTATGAATTTATCTTTGAACACTACAGTACATGCAAAGACCTTGGTACGGCTATTGATGAAGCAATCTTGTCCCTTAAGGAGCGGGTTGAGGTCAGTGAGGATAGAATCAAGGCGCTCCACTGCTCGGCCGATATTAGGGATATCCTCCTGGTTTCGATCAACCCATGCCATCCGATCACTCCGAATCTCAGATTTTAATACCTTCTGGTTATTGTCATCACTGGTTCGACCTCCAGCTAATTTTCCAGTCTTTAACAGTAACTTAGCATCAAGACTTTTTATTTCTGCTAATATTCGATTAACATGTTCATCTTCGAACAGTGAATCAACCACACAAAAGTTTCTCTTTTTCAGTTCATCCACAACAAATCTGGCTATATCCTTGTTCTTCTGGGATTTAGGTTTATCAAAGTGTCTTTTAGTGAATGGTGTTTTATCAAAAGGTGTATAATCCACTGAATTACCATCCTCATCAGCGCTATCACTAGGTTGGTTACATTCAGCTTTTAATTCCACATTTGTTTTCGTATCACTATTGTTCAAGTTTCTGTGAGCGTATAATTGATTATCTGCAACAGACCTTTCCGCCTCGAAGGCACACTTGTCTTCGACTTTTGTAGAACTATCGTTGATGTCGTTCTCATTCATTTCGCAAAGACCAATGTTTGATTCTGTAACGTCGTTTGAGGTAATTCCAATGGCACGTCCCGACGATTGTTGACAAACTACAGGGTCTGATGGGACGCTAGTCTCTTCTTGGCTGCCGCCACTCGTTGACTTTGTAACGTGACATGATAGTTTATGCTTCGACCAGTCCTTCAATTGGTGTTCTCTGCTACAGTAGACGACCTGTTTACATCGCGAACACCTTTTAAGGGCGGAGATCGACTCACAAACGGCACACTTCATCGATGCCACAACTTTAGCGTCGTCCGCCATGGTCTGTTGACAAGCACACTTTTCTATCTCACTATAGGAGAGTTCAACGCCACTCAGTAGGACCCCATCAGACGCAGAAGTCGATTGTCGCAGACGACAAAGCGAAAAGTGGAAATGTCAGACGTGAGAACAAAAACAAATGATATACCGCTATGGCTTAAGTCAATTAAGATTAACTCGATCAGACAGACAGAATAGCTGGAATTAGATTTTTTTAGATGACAAAACGGTACAGACTTATTATCCCGTGTTAAATAGTCTTATTTTACATGAATTGGTTAAAAAAATCTCTCTAGCTCCAGGAAAATATGTTTACTACTATCTTTGTTTAATCATGATTAAATCTTAGTGTACTTCAAATGTACTGAATAAACAGGGAGATATAACGGAGCGACACGGTTATCAATACAGTGGTGATGACGTTTTATCAACGAAATATTGTTCAAAATTTCAATTATTATTAATCATTTAATCATGTAACTGGCGAATGAGATATTGACTCAATTTGATATCAACATCTAAAATGCAACTATTTAAAGAAAGATTCGAATGCGGTTTTTTATTTTTATTTCGACTTTGCTTTACAGTTACCTCCCTTTAGCCACAACATGAGTAAAGTTAAGTTGCGGGTCTCTTACATACAGCGGAAGCCACTTCCAAGGTATGTTTATCCTTATCTATTTATTAAAATGGTCTTCCGGCACTGGTCTAGCGTCAAGTGTTACTGACTAGTACCTCCATCATTTGTCACAGAAAAAAATCTCAAATCGAACAAGGTTGCCACCTGTTTGCATTTTCATGAGCCAATAGCGAGAACCTGGGGCTAAGCTGATTCACTTGTGGATTATTATCATTCTCCTTCCTTAAGAACAATAAAACAAATTGTCGATAATTGCAGTGCTTGCCTGACATGTTATAAATTCTCTTCTTTTAACGTATAACTACGACGGAAAAAACACTTTTCGCGGTAGAAAAATCTAATTGGGTGTGGGGATGTGCTACCATCTAAGCTGACATATTGTTTTGACATCTGGCGATTCTTTGTTCTTTTAGTTATTTCGCACAACTGAATAATTTTGAAGTATATTTAATGTAATTACTTAGAAATACACTTTAGTCACGTCCGTTTCATAACTGACAATGAAAAACTCAAATCATATTTTCGATTCCCGAACCCTTATCTCCCTGTTCCCTCCCCGCTACTCCTGGTTCCTGTCCATTGTTCCCAAGTTCCCGCCCCTCCGAAGCGACTGGGTTAAAAATAAAATGTGACCTATACGTTGTACCAAGTACTCAGGCCACTGTATAACAAATATACATGAGACCGAGTTCAAGCTAAAACTTGTGTACGATCTCAAAATATCAAGCTCGATGTCAAGCTATCAATATCATAAAAAAACCTCTAAAATATCAAGCTGAGACCAAAGAGTTGACACTACCGAATAGCAAACTGAAGTTCCAACTCAGAGAGAAAGCCGATTGAGTGATTACTCGGTCGTATGTAACCGCGGCATAGACAATACAGTTTTATAAGCAAGCAACCAGGGTTAGGGTTTGGACTGGGATTTCTAGTATAAATAGACACTCAAAATGATACACAGGGTTTTCTTTGACCCTGGATGAAGGTACAAAAATCCCCCCCAAAATTGCTAAATTCAAGTCTTGCACCCCTAGTTTTCACGGACTCTCTAAAGGTGTTAAGCCGTTTAGTATGTAAGGTTTAGTTTGATGTTACACTGTTGATGCAACTCTTAATGTAATAATGGCGCTTAATGTAATAATTATTACAATAAGCGTTGCAACGGCTACGCTTAATGTAATAAAGTTATTTTTATTACATTAAGCGGGGCAACTGTTACGTTTAATGTAATAATATTTTTTTTATTACATTAAGCGCCGAAACTGTACTATTGACAAATTTAAGAAGGTTCTTAGTGTAATAAAGTCCGAAATGAAGTGGACATATTTAGTCTCCTGTTTTGTATTGTCATGTCATTTTGGGTATTATTAGGGCCCCACATCGAGATGCAGAAGCCCTATAGGAATCACCCTGTCCGTCTGTCCATCCAGACAGTGAGGTAACTGGCATTTTAGCCACATGCAAGGTTTGTTGACATTCTAATCATTAATCTAATCATAACTGAAACTATCATCGGAAAACAAAAGTACCGGCGTCCGTACATCCGTCTGTCCGTAGTTTCAGTTATGATTAGATTAATGATTAGAATGTCAACAAACCTTGCATGTGGCTAAAATGCCAGTTACCTCCCTTTTTGTATGCATACACATTATGATGATACCCGTCAGCCGTGTCATATCAAAGACGTTTAAAATGGCATTTGAAGCTTCCCCCCTTAAAACAATAATACTGCAAGGAGCGAGGAACTTAACGGCCTGGAGTCAGTATACCGGTCAGTATTGACGAGGAGAATTAATTGGTTGATTGTCCGATCAACACATTGAAGGTCATTTACGGATATGCCAGTTTAAGTTGCAGAGGAAGACCCTAGAATATCTGTATAGAACCACCGACCTCCAATAAGTAACTGCCAAATTTCGACCACAAGGAAAGGAAATCCCTAAAATTATCATCTTCTCTGAACGGGTTTCGAACTAAAAACCTGGGAGGTGATAGGCTACAACGATCACGGGGCGCAACGACCCAGACCGTTCGGCTACCGACACCCCGGCCCCTCCAAACCTTGACGGGAACATATACCATTATTATAAAGTTGTCTACGGACGTTGAAATTTACCATGACATATTCACCATCGTGTAAAAAAAAGACTTTTAACGGATACAAGTAGTCCATTACCAAAGAGGCATCGGACTGATTTAACTTTGGAAAAAAAAATTCAGTTAATTGCAGACTCCGAGAAATTACCTTAAGTTTCTCAAAAGGAACTCAGCGTAAAATATGGTATCGGCCGTGCGACTGTCTCCGACATATTAAAACGGAAAGAACAGTACAACAGTCAATTTCAAGAAAACTGTGAGTTGAAGTTGCTTAACGTATCTACGGGCGGTAGCATGTATTTTTGTGTACAAAGTGAAGTCGACAACAATACCTGACTTTTCCGACACCCTGTCTAATCCGACCAAAAATGTCACTCCCCCATGGTGTCGGATTAGACAGGTTTCACTGTATTGCTATATTGTCTTGTAATCGACACGCAGTGTACTTCCGTAACAGTATAAAAATTGTTACATTAGCGGTCATTTAAATACAACCACAACGCTTAGTGTAATGATTTATTTTGTATTACTCTAAGCGTAACAATTGCAACTCTTAATGTAATAAAGATAAGTTTATTACATTAAGCATAACGGTCGCAACGCTTAATATAACAATCATTACATTAGCGCCGTTATTACATTAAGAGTTGCGTCAACTGTTCAGTCTGTTGTTACACTCTCTTGAATATTTATATACTATGTAGTCTGCGTTACACTGTGAAGGCTGGTGTCCCATCTAGTATATTGTTACACTGTCTATAGGCTGGTGTCCCATCTAGTATATTGTTACACTGTCTATATGCTGGTGTCCCATCTAGTATATTGTTACACTGTCTATAGGGTGTTGTCATACTGTCTAGTATGTTGTTATATTGTCTAGTATAATGTTATATTGTCAAGTATAATGTTATACTGTCTAGTATGTTGTTATATTGTCTAGTATGTTGTTATATTGTCTAGTATAATGTTACATTGTCTAGTATAATGTTATACTGTCTAGTATGTTGTTATACTGTCTAGTATGTTGTTATATTGTCTAGTATAATGCTATACTGTCTAGTATAATGTTATACTGTCTAGTATGTTGTTAGATTGTCTAGTATAATGTTATACTCTCTAGTATGTTGTTATATTGTCTAGTATAATGTTATACTCTCTAATATGTTGTTATATTGTCTAGTATAATGTTACACTGTCTAGTATGTTGTTATACTCTCTAATATGTTGTTATATTGTCTAGTATGTTGTTATATTGTCCAGTATAATGTTATACTCTCTAATATGTTGTTATACTGTCTAGTATGTTGTTATATTGTCTAGTATAATGTAATACTCTCTAGTATGTTGTTATATTGTCTAGTATAATGTAATACTCTCTAGTATGTTGTTATATTGTCTAGTATAATGTAATACTCTCTAGTATGTTGTTATACTGTCTAGTATAATGTTATACTCTCTAGTATGTTGTTATATTGTCTAGTATAATGTAATACTGTCTAGTATGTTGTTAAACAGTCTAGTATGTTGTTAAACTGTCTAGTATGTTGTTATATTGTCTAGTATAATGTTATATTGTCTAGTATAATGTAATACTCTCTAGTATGTTGTTATATTGTCCAGTATAATGTTATACTCTCTAATATGTTGTTATACTGTCTAGTATGTTGTTATATTGTCTAGTATAATGTAATACTCTCTAGTATGTTGTTATATTGTCTAGTATAATGTAATACTCTCTAGTATGTTGTTATATTGTCTAGTATAATGTAATACTCTCTAGTATGTTGTTATATTGTCTAGTATGTTGTTATATTGTCTAGTATAATGTAATACTCTCTAGTATGTTGTAATACTCTCTAGTATGTTGTTATATTGTCTAGTATAGAATTATATTGTCTAGTATGTTGTTCTATTGTCCAGTATACTGTTATATTATCTAGTATGTTGTTATAATGTCTAGTATATTTATATACTATCTAGGATATTGTATTACTGTCTAGTATGTTGATATATTGTTTAGCTTGTTGTTATACTGTCTAGTATGTTTATTATACTGTCTAGTATGTTATGCTACTGTCTAGTATGTTGTACTACTATCGAGGTTGGTGTTATACTGTCAAGTTCGGTATAATGCTATAAAGGACGTTGTGCTCCTGTCTAGGCTGGTGTTATACTGTCCACTTCGGTATAATACTGTCTAGTATGTTATGCTACTGTCTAGTATGTTGTACTACTGTCGAGGCTGGTGTTATACTGTCCACCT